ACTTTGCCTCCCTGCTTCCCGCGGCCAGACATGACTGAGGCGCTGGAGAAGTTCCAACTCGCCTCTGCAAAACAGGACTGAGAAAACCGACCTGACGCAGCGGCTCTCCCCCTTTTATCCCTTCCCTGGGCGGGTAAGCGCTTGATGATTGGCTGGAAGCCGTCGCTGCTTAGGCAACCAATGAGGAGCCAGATCGAACTGGGACCAATCAGAAACAGAGGCACGGCCCCGCTCGGGAGGGCCCAATCGCATTGGAGCATTTAGAGCCCGGTATTTGCATAACAGCGCTATAAGTAGAGGGCGCTGCGGCCATTTCGCTGCAGATCATACCCTGAGAGACAGAAGCGGTGCTGTCAAAATGCCCGAGCCGGCCAAGTCCGCACCCGCGCCCAAGAAGGGCTCCAAGAAGGCGGTGACCAAGACGCAGAAGAAAGGCGACAAGAAGCGCAAGAAGAGCCGCAAGGAGAGCTACTCGATCTACGTGTACAAGGTGCTGAAGCAGGTGCACCCCGACACGGGCATCTCGTCCAAGGCCATGGGCATCATGAACTCGTTCGTGAACGACATCTTCGAGCGCATCGCCGGCGAGGCCTCGCGCCTGGCGCACTACAACAAGCGCTCGACCATCACCTCGCGGGACATCCTGACGGCCGGGGAAAAAACTGCCCGGCTAGCTGGCCAAGCACGCCGTCTCCGAGGGCACCAAGGCCGTCACCAAGTACACCAGCTCCAAGTAGAGCGTCCCGCACCGTGAATTTTAACCCAAAGGCTCTTTTAAGAGCCACCTACATAATCCCTGAAAGAGCTTTAACACAGGAGTATTTCAATTTTAATTTTTTTTTCTAGGTTTGAAAATGTTCAACAGTAAATAGAGATTGAAGTAAATATTATTGCATAGCTATCAGAGTTTGTAATGATTACTAATCTGTCCTAAAATTGAATATATTACAGCTTCGAAGACATTCAAATTCACGTGTAACTTGCTTTGTAAATGCTAACGTTCAAGTAAATTAAGTGCGAGAAAGTAAATTTCAAGTAGTATTAAGCATTTTAACAGTGAGGATGTGAGGTGCCATATATTATACTATACACTTCATAAATAAGAAATTCAGTTTCCCAAAGCTACATTAGTTACAGACATGAAGGCGAAAGGAAAGCGTACGACCCTCAGGTTTTTTTTTTGTTTTTTTTTTGGTTTTTTTTTTTTTGTTGTTGTTTTGTTTTGTTTTGTTTTTTTTGCATAGCTGTCCTGGGATAGTCTAAAGTTTAAAAACGCGTCACTCCCTTCTGTATGTGAAGACAGAAGCAGTCCTGTAGGCCGGAGGCAAGGAGAAGAAAAGCGGGGGAGGCGAGGGCTCCTCGGGGACGGGGTAGCTGCTTTGGGAAGGCGAGCTGTCC